TCACTGGCTGAGTGAGGAGCGGGGGCAACGCCGAGGGTTGCGATCCCGTTGCTGGTCCCGGTCCGGTACGGGCGCGACACTGAGGGTTGCGATCTGTTGCCGGTCACGAAAAAAGACAAAAAGACAAAAAAAAAAAGAAAGTAGTTGCTGAGAGCAGAAGGGGCATTTTATGTGTGCATCATTTGCCTTCTGTAAAATCTATTGTTTGGTTTTACACTGAACACCTGGTATGACTGTGCAGTTGTTACTCCATGAATACAGGTACCTAGAATGTGTTTTTTTTCCCCCTTGAAATCTTCTTTGGAAGAAAACAAATGTTTGCTTAATGGAAATAGAAGCTGGAGAGGTTTTTCAGAAACCACAGTAATATATAAAATACGAGTGAACCCTGAAAAAGCTACAGTCACAGAGATGGAAAAAAGCTTGTGCTTGGAGCACCTCTAATATACTTCCTGAGGGCGAAGAAGGACCAAGTGTTGAACAAACCAAGTGTCCATTAATACTCAGATATTCTGAAAGGTTGCTTCTGTTCTCAGTTATTTAGATTGATTACATGACCAGCCTGTTCTCTGTTGAAGAAGAATCAGCCAAAGGGAGTGATTTAAGATATGGGCATGGGCTGGCTGGTTGGCTCAGTTGAGCACAGCCTTGTAACACGAAGGTTAGGGGTTCAGATCCCTGTACTGTCCAGCCGCCAAAAAATAAATAAGATGTGAGTATGAATCTGGCCAGGAAGCTACCCTGTCTCAATCACTGATTTCCTGGGATGAGGTTTCCTCTGTTTAGATTCTAAGAGTTGAACAATTTTGTTTGTTACTTTTCTAACCAATAGCTCTCATTCTTAACTACAGGATAGAAGTTCAGCCTAGTGTTCAAGTGGGTGATTCAAACTTTGCTGTTGTAGTGCCTCAGATCAACTCTAGTTATTTTAAATATTTTAAAATTTTAAAACTTTAATTTGTTTTATTTTATGTAATATGTCACCTGTGGGTAGGGAGGCATTTTGATAAAACATACCCTATATCATCAACAGACTTGAGAATGACTGAAAACCCTTAATCTATATTCCAGATATACCAAGTATTCTGTTAGAGTTAAAGGGACTGGGAAATGGGAACTTTGGAATCAGATCTTGTCATTTAGCCAGTAACCATGATTTGCACAAGAGATCCAGAGATGAAAGCTGGATCAGGAGACCCAAAACTGTTTTGAACAAAGTACATATGGGGCATTTAAGGAGGCCTTAACTGTTAGAGGATAGATATGGCATTATTCATTAATACCAGGAGGAAATATAACCTAGAGCAGAGAAAATATAGCCTTGCCAGCAGACAATTGGCAATGTTTGAAGACATTTTTGGTTGTCACAACTGGAGGGATAAGGGCGGGAGGAAGGTGTGCTACTGACATCTAGTGGGTGGAGGCCAGGGATGCTGCTAAACATCCTACCATGTACAGGATGGCACCCACAACAAAGAATTATCTAGCCCAAAATGTCAATAGTGCTGAGATTGAGAAACTTTGACCCTGAAGAACTTCAGTTCTCCTTTATAGGTGAGGTCATAGGACATAGCCTGAGCTTTATAGCAGACCAGCTACAAATCACTAAAACAAAAAGCACTTAATTTTTTGTTTGTTTCTTATTTAATGTCCCTCCAGGAAAAAAGAAGAAAAAAGTTACTACTAAAGCAACCAGGTAGAATGGATTCCATTATTCCATTGAACACTGCCAAGTGTTTTTAAAACATGTTCAAGAACATTCAAACTCACTATAATGGCTTTATTGCAGAATGATGCCAAAACAAACAAACAAACAAACAAACAAACGAAAAACAGCTTCCTGTACATTTTATTTTATAAAATTTTTTTTAAAAATGTATTTCTCAGTAATAATAACAAAGCCATTCTTTCCTTTCACTTTCTACAACCTCAGTCCTGGAAAAACGCTATAAAAGATGTTACATAATATTTGAACAATGCATTGTAATTTAAGAGAGAAAAAAATCTTATATATATATGTGTGTGTGTATATATGTATATACACACACACACTATCTCATTTGCTTTTCCTAGGAACCATGGAAGGGAGGGAGGGCAGATACTCTTATTCCCATTTTACAGGTGAGGAAGTAGAGTCTCAGAGAGGCTAAGTGAAAAGAGGCTCTCTTCACTGTTTTCCCTGTAACTTTGCTCTAGGTTTTCAGCAGCATTTGTATCTAACCTACCATAATATACAAATCCAAAACAAATAATGCTGAGCACACTACACTTCATGTCTCTGCTACACATTAGGAAATATGGTCAGTAACTTGCTATGAGGGAGGCATTGTGGAATCAGGGGAAGAAGTTGGTTCTGAGAGTAAGGACTGATTTCTGATCCAGATTTCACCACTGACTTGCTTTATGACTTTCAGCAAGTCATAGAACCTTTCTGTCTTAATTTGCCCATCTGTCCTAACTTCTTATGGATACATGGCCTGAAACCTGGGAGGCTGTTGTTAAAACCATAATGGTTTACTTAAGTGTTTTAAATTAGGTTGATTTATTTCCTTAAATGTGGTCATATGTGCAAGCCTCCGGCAATATTGTTGATCACAGATGGCAATCCAGTGGCCTAACTTCTGAAGGCTGTGAATATCCCAATGATAAGGACTTTATAACTTCTTTGTAACTTTATAACTTTCATTCAGAAATTGAAGCTTCTGATCTATCAGTCAAAAACAAGGAAGGGAAGAAAGCAGGGAGGATGGGGTATTTACTATATAAAGGCAAAATCATCAAAATGGAAAGATTAGACTCAACAATAAAAGTGGGTGGCAGAGAGCCTTTAAGTATGTGAGATACACCCTACAATTAAAAGCAAAGCATGGGAAAATATTTTTTAAATCCCAGTTTCCTTTTGGAACCAGATACCCTTCAGAAAAGTTGCTGAGAACCTATATCACCCTGGTTTAGCTTGTTGGACTGGATATTAGAAATAGAGAAGAGACACCACAGGGGTGGGATTTATATAATGGATGTTTCTTCTTTTACGGGTGTAACCAAAACAGCCAATTGGTCTAATCTTGTGTGTCTTTATCCTATAAGCCACTGCAGGTGTATAAGCAGCACTGCTTCTGCAACAAAAGCCTAGACCCAACCACATCTTGGGAAGAGAATGGCCACATCCTGGGGTGCAGTCTTTTTCATGCTGCTGGTGTCCTGTGTTTGCAGCTCTGTCTTCCACAGAGACCAGCACACTTGGTTTGAGGGAGTCTTCCTGTCTTCCATGTGCCCCATCAATGTCAGTGCCAGCACCTTATATGGAATTATGTTTGATGCAGGGAGCACTGGAACGCGAATTCATGTTTACACCTTTGTGCAGAAAATACCAGGTAAGTACAAATGGGACCCTCACCAAAGTTTATAAATCCACACTTTAGCATCTTTTCACAGAAACAAATGTGCTGAGAGTGTGTAATGTGAATTACAGAATCTTACAGCTAGTGAATGTCTTTCTTTAGAGAATACTTTGGACTATAATTGAACACATGATTTAATTCAATGTGAAATTAAGAGAGATTTGGGCTGCCTATAGTCTGAAACCCATGTGACCAAGAAGTATAGCTATAATTTGTCCTTCCTCTTCTCTAAAGGTGGTTAATACTCCAGGGGTTTAAACATTGAGAATGCTGGGAGTGGTCTTCCGAGAAGGGTCACATGAGAATTTCATTGCCATCCTTGGAGAAGGGGCTGAGGGGACCCTGAAGATTAACTTTTTCTGAATTGTCAGTGTTGTTTCCTCAGGTTACCTACTGAGCCTGGGGAAAATAGTAGGAGCTGGGTGTCTACCAGAGAAATGGCAGAGGGACCTTCAAGGGTTGCCTGTCGCCCTCTATTCCCCTTTCCTAATATTCCCGCATGACATTCCTCACAAGTGGGATTGTTTGGAATAGCTTGGGAGAGAAGCAGGTTGTCTAGTAAGTTATATGAAAACTTACAGAGTCCACTATCTGAAGCAGCCTAACTTTTGGTAATCAGCTATCTCTTTTCTGTTTTGTTCCATGAACAAAATAGGACATCTTCCAATTCTGGAAGGGGAAATTTTTGATTCTGTGAAGCCAGGACTTTCTGCTTTCGTAGATCAACCCAAGCAGGTGAGTTTCTTATGATTCAGTATTTAGATTCTCAATGCCTTGATAACTTGACCACACCACTGCTGTTAAATATCTCATGCTATTCATCAGTGATATTGAGGTCATCTTCAAGATCAATTTTCTCTCCTCGTAATTGTAATTGTATGCCCCAGGCTTAGTAGGGATGGGTGGAAGGAGGCTAGAAAATAGATTGTGGTCATGCAGAGATGACACCAGCTTTTAGAAGATTGCTCCTTGTGTATTTACTGTTTAAGATTTTGAGTTGAAGCCATCAACTTCATTGGTTAATATAAACACAGAAGACAGAAATGTTCCATGAGGTATGAAGTTTAAACATAGCAATTGAGGGGATGGGGACCCCCTGAATTTGATTTCATAGTGCCCTAGTATAGGATCGAATCATGCCTATACCCTAGAAATTAGGCAACAACCAATGATGACAAAAATTTGAGGTAGTAAAGAATGAATGGGGAGTTTGTGGTGACTGTAATTCACAGTTGAGCACCCACAACATACTACAACCAGTGTGTCTGAGGCCATGCTGAAGTAGAATAGAATAAGGCAGAATGTTGAACTTTGGTAGCAGATGTAAGGGTGGTATTATTCAGTGTCACAAGAATAAGCATTACCCAAAGGAAAACTTAGGTTAAAAATGGTTCAAGCTTGAAGAACTGAGAGGATGTATTTTCTCAGCTCAAAAGCACATGAAATGGCAAATGTGCTAGAAAATTAGGAGCTGTTGAAAGCAACTGCGTTATCAGAAACTGAATTGACATTTAGAAAAGATGATTGTGTTGTATTTGCTAATAATAATGATTACAGGACAGTGTGTTGTCAGAATAAATGTTCACTCAGGGAAACAGTGGATTTAAAATAATTTTTTTCCTTTATCATATATTGAGCATCTACTGTATGCCATGCATGTAGGTGCTGGGGTAGCGAAAAAGAGCCTGACATGTTCTGTTCTTAAGGAGATCACAAAAAGTGTAGGATGATAACAACTGCAGCTAGCATTTGTATGGCAACCACATGCACTCCGCCTCATCTAATACACACAGTGGTTTAATGGTGGTGTGAAGTGTATCTCCCATCTCACACCTAAGGAAACCAAGCCCCAGGAAGGCCAGATGACCTATGTTAGGCTACAGGGCTAGCAAGCAAGTCTTCTGACTCCAATTCCTGTGTTTCCTTCATTATACCCAACTTTCTGGCCTAAGGCTAATTTATATGAGACATAAAATAACAATCAACTAAAATGACAAAACTATAAAAGAATAATTTTTATTTTGACTATCAAAATGAAATTGATTCTCCTTCTTCGAAGTGGTTCACTTCTCTAGGTTTCTGCTCTTACAGAGCAGAGAGGTTGGAACCCTCTGCCACCTCGCTCCTGTTGTGCCCCCAAAGTGTGTTGAAGGAATAGACTAGTATCTCTAAATGGACTGTTCATTGGATGAATGGGTCATCTCTTTTGGAGGGTGCTGAAACTGTTCAAAGACTCTTAGAGGTGGCCAAAGACTCAATCCCCCGAAGTCACTGGAAAAGGACCCCACTGGTCCTGAAGGCAACGGCAGGACTGCGCTTACTACCAGAACAGAAAGCCCGGGCTCTGCTCTTTGAGGTAATTTTTGAAATCTGCATCTCAGATAATTCTGTCTTTTTCCCTGTATGATTATTTTCTTTATGAGCTTTTAGCCCTTTGGAGTATAACTGCTACCTTTAGTATTGCACCATTGCTAAAGCACTATGATGACTCTGGGCTCTTGTTAGTTATTTGCATTTTGAACCGTCACTCTCAAATTTATAGAGCTTTTCCTGGAAAGTTTGAAGTACTTCCTGTCCATGGTATTCTTAATTCTTCTAACTTTTTAAAGTAGAATTATAGAAATTGTTTTTAATCAACTTTATTGTGGTAAACTTACATACAATGAAATGTATCTATTTTAAGTGTACAGTTAAATGAGTTGTGACAGATATAGAAGTTTCCTCATGTCCCTTTATAGTTAGTTTTCCTCACCCCTGAAATGAGGCAACCACTGATCTACTTTCTGTCACTACAGATAAGTTTTGCTTATTCTTACAGTTAATGTAAATGGAATCATACGTTTATATTCTTTTTTGTATGTCTGCCTTTTTTTTCCTCAGCATAAAGCTTTTGAGAGAAATAATGGAATTTTAAAGTTTGAAAGATTTTTAAAGGTCATGTATTCAACTCCCTTCTTATTCAGATCAAAAATTTATGTAGCTCAGTTGGTTAGAGCATAACACCAAGGTCCAGGGTTTGATCCTTGTACTGACCAGCTGCCAAAAAAAAAAAGAAAAAAAATTTAAGTATTGAGAGTTTTGTTAAGCTTAATATTTAAGTTTATTGTACATATTTATTGTGCAATAAACATTAAATTAAGATTTAAATTTCATGTTGTGAAGAATATTTATAGGCAGAATCCCATTATTACAAGAGAGTTTTGTTAAGCTTAATATTTAAGTTTATTGTACATATTTATTGTGCAATAAACATTTAAATTAAGATTTAAATTTCATGTTGTGAAGAATATTTATAGGCAGAATCCCATTATTACAAAAAATCATAGCAAAAAAGGATTTTGTATTATAGATTTGCTAATTTAGCCCTCTAAATTCAATTTTCCTTTGACTGTCAGGACAGAGGGCTTAAGTCCCTTGTCCAAGGACAAGCTGCCTAGCATATTGTGTGAGAATCTGAATCCCAATTCCTCATCCATCCATCCATTCCATCATTCTATGTATGAGTGCTTACTAGTAGTACTGGGTGCTGTTGAAGTTCTGGGGACACATATAGCAGGGAAGCAGGGAACAAAAAAGACAAAACAGTCCCTGCCCTCCTGGAGCTTACATTCTTGTTTCAGGGAGACAGAAAATAAACAACTAACAGATCAATACAAAGTATGTCAGGTGCTGTAGATGTTATGGAGAAAAAGAAAGCAGGATAATGCAGGCTGGGAATGCTGGTGGTGGTGTGGGGGAGATGCTTTTTTAAATAGGGCAGTCAAGGAAGCTCTCTTTGATAAGATTCATTTGCTCAGAGATCTGAGGAGAACGAAAGGACAAGTTATGTAAGACATTTTGAGAGGAATATTCCAGGCTAAAGAAACAGCAGGTACAAAGGCCAGAGGCAGGAATGTGCTTGCTGTGCTCAGAAAGCATCCAGAAGGAGGTCAGCTCAGCTGGGGGGTGGGGGTGGGGATTGAGTGCTGAAAGGGAAGTAGGAGATGAGGTCAGAGAGGTGGAGGGCAGGGGTGGGGGAATTTATCATGTTGCCACTCAAAGGCCAGTACAAAGACTTTGGCTATTTCTCTAAGAAGGAAGCCACTGGAAGGCTTTGACCTAACGAGAGACATGATCCTACACCTATTTTAAAAGCACCATTCTGTCTGCTGTGTTGAGAACAAACTGTGGGGCAGGGGAGAGGAGTGGAGAAGGCAAGAGCAGAAACTCTTTCTGTGCTTATTTCTTTTTGCTCACCTGTCTTCCCCTTTAAAGCTTGCTTATAGATCACTTAATTGGCTTTTCCTGATTTGAAACAGGGTGCAGAGGTCACCACATGATGTGTTTCATCCCATCAAAAATGAGAACAGCAAATAGACTAGAGTTTTTTCTATTGCTATATGGAGAATCTTTTTTATCCCCATGATAATCACATAAAAATAAAAACACCCATATCATTGGCCTTATTTATGGAGAGTCAAGAGTATTTGTGCTGGATCTTCATTCCCATCTCCTAAAATGGGATTCCATAAGTCTACATCTGGGGTGTCCCTAGATTCTAGAGGCCCCAGCCATCTGTCAGGATCCAACCAGGGCTGATAGCAGAGTACCTCAGCTCTTGGACATGAGCTCTTTCACAGGATGCATCCATCTGCTCATCTATGAAGCGGAGTGGGGGCCAGCCCGTGGCTCACTTGGGAGAGCGTGGTGCTGACAACACCAACTCAAGGGTTAAGATCCCCTTACCGGTCATCTTTAAAAAAAAAGAAATGGAGTGGGAGGCAGTCCAGTTAGCTCAGCTTGTTAGAGAGTGGTGCTGATAACACCAAGGTCTAGGGTTCAATCCTTGTACTGGCCAGCTGCCCCCCCCAAAAGAAAGAAAGAGAGTAGGAAAGGCTCCTCCCAGCGTCTAGAGTATGTCCAGATAGAAGTTATCAGGTTTTTAAAAAATTTACAGGATACTGATTTGGGCTAGCAGGGTCAAATATATGCCCTTCCCTAGGTCCAGTTCACCTATAAATTTAAATGGTTTTGTTGAGCTTTACTTTTCTTTTTTTTTCAGCTTGCCAGTATAGGGACTTGAGTTTATGACTTTGGTGTTACCAGCACCATGCTCTCTCAATGGAGCTAACCAGCAAGCCCAAGGTTTACTTTAAAGTGAAAGGAAGCCCAGTGTTTGTGTTTTTGCAAGAAACTTAATGAGTTGCCTAGTTCCTTCTCTAGTTTCTTAGGGAAAAGGAATGAGTTCTGCTAAAATTTTATCTAGAAAAAATAGAGTAGTTTTCTAAGCCTTATAGGACACAGCCAAAATATGGAAATCAATATGTAAATTGCCCTAGGGAATCCAGGTTTTTTTCCCTTTTTTTCTAGGTAGAGGAGGTCTTCAAGAAGTCACCTTTCCTGGTACCAGATGACAGTGTTAGCATCATGGATGGATCCTATGAAGGTGGGACAGGTGTTGATATATGTTCCAGGTGGAAAGGGACAGGGTCAGTGAAAGATCTAATTAAACGAACTGGTAACAGGGATGGAGCGCTGAAGAAATGTGAATTAAGTGAAGAGAAACAAATAAGCACAGAGGAAAGGGATAGCAGGAATGGAGGAATGGGAGTAGGGAAACGTGTGCTCTAGGCATGAAATGTAGAGAGAAAAAGAACAAAGGTGGGGCCAAGAAAGAGAGAAAAATGCTCTTTGATGTAATCTTTGTCTCTCTCTCTTTTTTAGGCATACTAGCTTGGGTTACTGTGAATTTTCTGACAGGTAATACATACTTTCTCAAATTTATCTTAAGACTTTAACTGGCTTTTACATGCACGGTCAAAAGAGTAAAAATTCCTTTCTTTCTTCCTGTACTGTTTTTGTGGTATTTTGGTGGCTGGCATGTGTGTGTGGGGGGGGATCCTTACCCTTGACCTTGGTGTTATCAGCACCGAACTCTAACCAACTGAGCTACCTGGCCAGCCCTTGTTCTTTCCTTAAAAAGAAAAAAGGAAAGAAAACACAAGAAGTTAATGTTTACAACTTGCTTTCAAGGCCTCAGCTACAGCAAGAGTCTTCTGAGTTTACATTCACCTATAGCCTTTGGGGCTGGGGAGCAGTGGGAGTATTTGTGGAATACCTTTAGTGTAACATAATGACAGGAAAGAAATTGCAGACAGACAAGAGTTAGGCTTTCGAGGATGCGTAAGATATTCAGAGCTGGGTCTCATTGACAGGTCAGCTGCATGGCCACAGCCAGGATACTGTGGGGACCCTGGACCTGGGGGGGGCCTCCACCCAAATCACTTTCCTGCCCCAGTTTGAGGTGAGTCATTTACATGAAGTTCTGGTTAGCAACACACTTGATAGGCAAATCATGGTGCCAAGAAAGTGGCACCCCATTTTCAGATAGAAGCCCCACGACAAATAAGGCTGAGTAGAGTCATGAATGATTGGATGAACTTTGCCTTGCCCTCTCATTATTCAGAATCCCTTTGATTCCTCATGCCTTGTGAGATTAGCAGCTCAATCTGTCTCCATCTCTGATTTTTGTGGGGAGGGACAGGGATGGCGGTGATAATATCTTCAGATAATTACAGATTCTGAGTAGTCTTTTTGCTTTTTCTGATTTGCAGAAAACCCTGGAACAAACCCCAAAGGGCTACCTCACTTCCTTTGAGATGTTTAACAGCACTTATAAGCTCTATACACATAGGTGAGGAGGGGGACAGGAAGAATAATATTTCACGTTGTATGATTCTCCTAACTTTTCAAAACATTCTCATGTCTGTTATTGCATCTGATCAGTTTTACAAAGTGTTTGTCAGTGCCCTAAGGCCTATCAGCTAAAACCAAAGCCATTTACCAGAACCCAAGGGACCTAAGAGGCTTCTCCATTATTGGCCCCAAAAGTATGTAACTTAAGAGACAAATGTTTTCTCTAGAGAGAGGACATTTGGAGAAGGCTCAGTCAAAGCTCCATGCCAACTCCTTTGAGCTGGTTTTCAGATGCTCAAACTCCAGCCTGGAATTTGATCCCAGTTGGGGTTGGGAGCTAAGCTAATGAGAGCTTTTCTGGGGATGGTTCCAGGTGGGACCCTAGGAATTGTCACTGTCTCTAACCTTTGAATCATAGCTGTTGGGAGTTCATACTGCAGAGCCTTCATCCCAACTGTAGAGAAATTATCTCTTGTTGACCACATGAGATGAACAAGTCACAGCGACAGAACAAAGTTTTCACCTCTCCGAAAGGAGACAGAAACCATGCTACTTTTGAAAGAGGTAACTTTAGGCTGGAGAACTTCAGGACCAGCATAACATTGGTCAATCCTATATTTTACAGTTACTTGGGATTTGGATTGAAAGCTGCAAGACTAGCAACCCTAGGAGCCCTGGAGATGGAAGGTTGGTCTGGGTGCCTGTGCTGGGTGGGGGATGGTGAGAGTAACACCTGTACTCAGCGTGCCTCTTCCCTTCCTTGGCAGTGATTCAGTGGAGGAAAAGCTTATGTTGAATTGGGAAGCGTATGTTGTATAATGGACATAATAATAGCAAATTCCTTTTCTACTTTTTAAGTTCAGATGTTTTTGTATATATTATTAGCTATTTTTATAATGAAGTGTACTTGTATAAGGGGGAACAGACAGTGGCCAGGAGGCTGAAGCATCTGCAGAAATTCAGGGCTCAAAGAGTGCATTTGGCAAGAGCTTGCTCAAGCCCTTAGCTTTACATGGGAGGTATAGGAAGCAAGGTCTGTTTTATTTGCAAGGTGGAATAACTGAGCGATTCTATTCAGCTCTTCACAGTTGGAGTCAGGCAGAACTGGGTTTCCTCCCAGTTTTGTGATTTGGGGCAAGTTAGTTAATTTTTCTGTGCTCTTTTCCTCACCTTAAATGAAATTTTGCATTTAAGGCACTTTTGACAGTGCCTGTCTCATACTAAACTATTATTGGGATGAGGACTATATTGCATTTCAGAGTTTACAAAACATCTGCAAGTGTGTTTCACTTAAGCCTCTCTGCAACCAGTGAAAAAGATGGCATGGTATTTTTTTCCTGTTTTTAGAAAGGATGGAACTTACTCAATTGTGGATTTTGTGTTTATTTGAGATGTGACGAAAGCTATGGACCCCTCTGCCAAATGCACATGTGCGTGAAGATTTGTCTCTAATTTCTGGAGATTCACCAACCCCACAAAGCCTATGTGTGAAACCTGAGTTAAGAATTCCTGTGGCTGTCTGTAATCATGGAACTAATTTCATAAGATTTTAAGGCCCAGCCCCCTTGGTGATTCCTTTCAGCCTCACTGGCTTCTTGCTTGCCTTCCTCTCTTCTCTCACATACTTGCCTCTTACTTTATGCTCTGATTTCCTCCAGGGATTGATGGACACACTTTCCGAAGTGCCTGTCTACCGAGATGGTTGGAAGCAGAGTGGATCTTTGGGGGCATGAAATACCAGTATGGTGGCAACCAAGAAGGTAAGTGATGTTTTTTCACTGGTGAAAATTACCTTTATAGTAGAAGCTCTGGAAAAGTTCCATGGAAACTTTTTCCAGAGCTCAAGAGAAGCTTATCGTGTTTCAGGGACTCATTCCAAAGATCTTTAATGCTTCCAAGGACTAATGTGAAGCGACAGTGAACAAGGCAGTTGTCACTCTGCATACTGTTCTCTTTCCCTGACTAAGTGTCATTGATCCTTTAGAAACCTGTTCTTAGCCTGGGTTTAACACAGCAGTGTGAACCCCTGTTCAGTTAATGTTCAGCTGTTTAAATTATAGTAAAATTTAAATTGAGACAATAGGAAGATTAATTCATCTTAGGTATTACAAAAGGAATAGACCTTAAAAATCAAGGAAAGAAATCAACTTCCCAGTGAAGGAAGCAGTTGAGCCCTCTAGACACTTGCTGATAAATAATACCATGAAACATAGTGCTAGGCAGCAGCACAAGGTTGGCTGTGGCCATTTTTGGTGAACACAGGTTAGGGAGAGGAGCTGCCTTGGAGAAACAGAGCAGTGAGGCTGCAGAGGTTTGCTCATCTTTGTTTTTAAGCCCTCTGTCTTGAGCCTCAGCCTTCTGCCTTCCTTGGTCCTCCTGCCGTTCCTTTACTGGCTCCAGCAGCTTGCCTCCGAGAGTGGCCCCTTCCCCTACCATTGTTCTCTCCTGACCCCTGTGCACCTTTGCCCTAGCAGGGGAGATGGGCTTTGAGCCCTGCTATGCTGAAGTGCTGAGGGTGGTACAAGGAAAACTTCACCAGCCAGAGGAGATCCAGAGAAGCTCCTTCTATGCTTTCTCTTACTATTATGATCGAGCTGCTGACACAGACATGATTGGTGAGTTTACCCCAGGTGTCAGACCAGAGAGGAGAGTGGGTGGGGCTGTGGGGGAGGAGTCAAGGAGAAGGAGCATTTGAAATGCTTTGCTGGGATGATTACCTGAATCTCTCCAGTGCTGGTTGCTGAGTGGCACTAGTCACTTGAACGCAAGGGTAAATGTGACTTAGAATATTTTGGAGCTAGGAGATGACCTAAAAAACTATACATTTACATTAAGTCTTTTTTTTTTTTACATCTTTATTGAGGTTTAATTGACATACAGTAAATGCATACATTTAAAGTGTACAATTTGCCAAGTTTTGTCATATGTATACACCTGTGAAAAACCATCACCACATTCAAGATAATGAACATATCCATCACCCAAAAAAGTTTCTTCCTGTCCCTTTATGGAAACCTTTTTTCTTATCACAAAAGTAATGTTTTTGTTTAGCTGTGACAGTGTATGTACATGATCTGTCATGGCCTGAGAGAAATGATTAATATTTACTAATTTTTTATGGGTCTGTTTTTTTATTGTGGTTAAATATATATGAAATAAAATAGATTATAAATAAATAAATAAAATAGCCTGCACAGATTATATTGTATGAATATGTCATTTGTTTATTCTATTCTCTAATGCTGGAAATTTTGTTTATTTCTAGTTTTTCCTTATTATAAGTATCACTGGGATCAATTTCTTTATGTTTCCTTGAAGGCTTTTTGACATCAGCCACTTTTCTGTTTCATTTCAGATTATGAAAAGGGAGGTGTTTTAAAAGTTGAAGATTTTGAAAGAAAAGCCAGGGAAGGTGAGTGTCAGGGGAAGCCCCTGCCAATTCCGGTGACCTAAAGCGACCTAAATTGCCTCAGTCAGCTCAGATAGTCTCTCAGAGGGCTAGTTTCTTTCTGGGTCTTCCAATCTTTGCAAGGAGTTAAAAGCATTAGGTGGCATAGAATTCTGGGCAAAAATACGAGAATATAAGAGGCTTTGGGGGAGTGGTGAAAACAGTTTTTCTTCTTTATACATTTCTTCCTTTTATTCATTTATTTCTATTGAAATAGTGTTATCAATGTTAATGAAACATTGAGCACCAAAATATATGGGAAATAGCCACAGAGGCTTCCCTGAGAGAATCGATCTAATATACAAATGATCTTATCCGGTGGCCCCATAGTAGGGCTAAATGGTATTTCTCTGTCTTCTGGGCCTCAGCATAAATAATAGGTAAGAGACTTAGAACTAAGTTCCCAGAATAGACCATAGCAATTTAGTAAATAACTAGGACCCATGTAAATTTGAGTAGATAAGATGTCACACCAGACATGTGCAAGTTCTTAAGAAGCTACGGTCTTGCAGAGGCGATCAGTTCACAGTCTAGTCTCCAGGAGGCCCCAGCATCACTAGATGGAGACTTCTGCTTGGCTTATTCTATCTCTGTCTATATTTAGAGAAAATCCAATACCTCTCAGTTAGTTGCAAACTTGAACTCCACTGTTCACACTCTCACTTTCAGTGTGTGATAACTTGGAACACTTCACCTCAGGCAGTCCTTTCCTGTGCATGGATCTCAGCTACATCACGGCCTTGTTAAAGGATGGCTTTGGCTTTGCAGACAGCACCATTTTACAGGTAAAAGACAGGGCAACAGAGTCCCAAAACAGGACTCTGTTGTGGGGACTGGGAAGGAGTCAAGAGCTTGTTTAGTAATCTGAATAGCTATAGGTGAAATTATGAGGTATTTTTGTTTGGGCTGTGAACAAGGCACTGTGCTGGGCACCATGAATGTGGGAAATTACCTTTATGCAATGATAACCTCCAAGTATATTAATAGGCAAGCTATCCCAGAGGCCACAGAACAGAAAAACTTGTAGCCCAAATTAAGATGCCCAAGTCACATAGTTTATTAAATCAATTTAGAACTCAGGGCAAGGAGCAGGGGGACAGAGATGGGAGAGGTAAACACACAGTATAGGGTAAAAGCAGGTTGGAAGTGCCACACTGCCTGCATCCTGGGTTATGTATATCCTGGGTTCGTATGTCTTGCTTCTCTCTCTGCCACTGATGGGATAGTGATAAGTACTAGAGCTGAAGATTGACCAAGGGAGCACAGGGTCAGAAGATGCCTGGGGCCATCACACAAACTTGCTCTCTTCAGAGAGGTCCAGGGGCAGGTACATCTGGCCAGTAGCATTAGCTCACCCAGTAGCCCATTAAGTGGGTTTTATTTGGCCAAAGACATGAGGGACCAAAAGGGTGTCACCAATGAGTGACTTATTTTTTTTGTTTGTTATTATTATTTAATGAGTGACTTATTTAAAACCTCATGAATATTAAATGCCTCATGCATATATATAGTTTGTCATATATAGTTTGTGTGCCTCATATATTTAGTTCATCATATATTTAGGTCCCTCTTTGTCCTCCTATCTTTCTCCATCTATTTCAGCACATGCAGGCTCTACTTTAATTGTAGTAAGTTATTTATCTGTTCTAAAACACATCTTAGGAATTCTATCCCATTAATTTTTTTTATCTTCTATACCATAATTGAAGGATGATTAAGATATAATCTTTGTCCTCAAAAAGCATAGTCTATTAGAGGAAATATAACGAAAATATAGCTATGGCACAAGGCAACCTTGTGAACTTTGGGGTCAAGTAAGTAGACTATATTTTGTCTTCCAAGCCCCTCCCCCACCTTCTCTTATGTCACTTCCCCTTCCTGTTTCCCCAGTTCCAGATGAGTTTATAATTGCCCCATTTCTTGTGTTACAAAGATTTCATAAACTCATTCCTGTTAAGGTATTTGGATTTAATGTGTTGTTATATCTGTCGAGAATACCATCATTTAAAGCATGGCTCTGTTCATCAGATCTGCTTCACATTCTCATTCTGCAAACTTACTAGCTGTGTTATCTTAGGTGATTTTACTTCCCCTTTCTAATTTTTAGGTTCCTCATTCCAAACACAAGGATCCTTACAGCACCTATTTCATAGGGTTGTTATGAACATTGAGATAATGTATGTAAAGCACATGCCTGGCATATAGTAAGTTATGAGTATTGGTATTGCTATCAGTGGAGGCACTTCACACCAGTTTGTGGATAAGGGAGATCATCCTAAGCCTCTCAATACATACTAAGTTAAAACTGCCTCTACTTAAGCATTAACAATAACTAAGTTCTTTTTTTTTTTTTTTAAAAGATGACCGGTAAGGGGATCTCAACCCTTGGCTTGGTGTTGTCAGCACCACGCTCAGCCAGTGAGCAAACCGTCCATCCCTATATGGGATCCGAACCCGTAGCCTTGGTGTTGTCAGCACCACACTCTACCGAGTGAGCCACGGGCTGGCCTTAACTAAGTTCTTTAAGAATAATTTTTCTGCTATTTTCAGCACTGGTATACTTTTAATCTCTGTGATTTCAATGGGAGCAGAATTTAAATCAGGGGTGGACAGTTCCCTGTTCCAGAGATCACTTCAATTTGGCATCTGTATCCCTAGGCTGCCAGCCCAGACCTGAGAACAGATAAAGAGCATTTTGGTGTGGGTCACTCCCAATTTGACTCAGATGTCCCAGACTAAACCTCAAGAAAATGATTTAAATGCCATTTGTGCCAGTTTTGGGTACAGTGGCTAGACAGGATTTCTTTTTTTTTTTTTTTCCTTTTTGTCTTTTTTACTGACCGGTAACGGGCTCGCAACCCTCGGTGTTGCGCCCGCACCGCGCTCAGCCAGTGAGCGGGAACCAGTCTCCACATGGGATCCGAACCCTCGGCGGGAGCGCCGCCGCACTCCCAAGCGGCGCACTCTCCAGTGCGCCACCGGGCCGGCCCTAGACAGGATTTCTTTAAGTCAACACAGAACAGTCTACTGGTTCTCAACCTTTTTTTTTTTCCTTTTTGGTGGTAATGGTGGTGGGAACTTTATTCAGCAAAAGCTTGTGTAGGATGTCAGTAATATAAAACCGATAAAAGTAGTGCTATATTCTGGTTGAAGCAGAGATTAGAGGCCTGTAACTCCTTTACTGTTTGGCCTCCCTTTCTCCTTTGAATCATTTCCAAGGAACCCCTAAGATTCTGAAGAAAATTTGATAAACACTTAACTAATCTCCTTGTTATATAGTTGAGGAAATCAGATCTAAAGTTTTTTTTTTTTTTTTTTCCTTTTTGTCTTTTTTCGTGTCCGGCAACGGATCGCAACCCTCAGTGTCGCGCCCGGACCGGGACCGGCCACGGGATTGCAACCCTCGGTGTTGCTCCCACACCTCGCTCAGCCAGTGAGCAGCCGGTCTGTATGTGGGATCCGAACCCTCGGCGGGAGCGCTGCCACACTTCCCAAGCGGCGCACTGTAGCAGTGCGCCACCGGGCCGGCCCCAGATCTAAAGTTTTGCCCAAGGTCACTGAGTTAATTGAGGCACAACGTGGCCTAGAAGGCCTTAAATGCTCTGGTTGGTTATTATTAGTGCTTATTAAGAAGAGGCAGTTGCTGGCCCATGGCTCACTCGGGAGAGTGTGGTGCTGATAACACTGAGGCTGCGGGTTCGGATCCTATATAGGGATGGCCGGCTCACTCACTTGGGCGAGCATGGTGCTGACAACACCAGGTCAAGGGTTAAGATCCCCTTACCAGTCATCTTTAAAAAAAAAAAGAGGCAGTTACTAACATAGTATGAATGAGAAGCTTGGTGTGTTCTTTCCCACCCCTAAATCTTTTCCCAACTCCTGATCATGCCCTTTCTACCGCATCCATTAACATTTCAACATAAGTTATCAGAAATTGGTGATTCTGAAAATAAAGCAGAGAATGTTATGTTTAGTTCCAGCATTAGGGAAAGAGTTCAGAAGCTTGTCTGTCTAGAAGATCTCTCTAGAAGGCTTGAGTGGGACCACTTCCTGGGCCAGAAGCATTCAGGGATCAGAATGGCATATGCAGGGGCAATAGGCCATGGCTGGAGGGAAATTGTTACAGAGAGGAATAGTGGAAAACCTCTAAAGACTGTCAACTCTTAATTTTGTCTTCATTTGGCCATGTGGATGCTCTTTGCAGATATTATCTGCAGATTTTATGTGCCATACTCGTGAGAGCTGAAAATTAGAAGAAAATGTGAAGATTTTTTTTCTCTTCCTCAACAGCTCACAAAGAAAGTAAACAACATAGAGACGGGCTGGGCCTTGGGGGCCACCTTTCACCTGTTGCAGTCTCTGGGCATCTCCCACTGATACCAAGCACTTCCTCTGAGGCTTGTAGTTGCCAACAACCTTTTTAAAGGGAAAAGGAGCGAGCACTCAGTCATTTTCTGAGTTAGTCTGGGGTCAGCCTGGACTGAAGCACAGCAGCTGGTTTTCTCAGGAGGAAGGGGCTTTTGTAGACAGGTCTTGCCCTTGAGCCTAGAGATTTGGGTTTAATTTACACATCTAATGTGAACTGTTACCTAACCACTCCGAGTGCACAGCTGGCACCAGAGTCTAAGTCTTTGAGATTCTTTGTGTGTCACAGAGAGCCCTGTGAGCCAAAAATAATAGCTTTGGAGCTCAACCTTAGAGTGAGAGCCCAGGGACAGGTCACTGGGAACCAAAGAAAAATCTCGTTTCAACCCTTCGAGTGCCTCATTCTTTTTATCATTTTAATTTTCTTCTTACATGCTAAATTAGTGCAATCCCATGACCTATCAGTACCAGTTTTTTCTCCTCCCTATACACTGCCCTGCCCCACCCATATCTGCATTCATCTCCCCTGAGAAAGAGAAAAAAATACCTGGTTTTGCTTTCCATGTGTGATTTTTTTTAAAAATGGTAACATATCACAATTTGTGTGATCCTGGTCTGTGCCGGCTCCAATCAGTTAGCTGAGAGCCATCGTAAGTCTTAACAGGATGGAGAATAACTCCTAACTGTACGTAGATCACAGCCTCAGAAAGGAGGCCATGGGCCGGCCCATGGCTCACTTGAGAGAGTGCGGTGCTGATAACACCAAGGCCACGGGTTTGGATCCTATATAGGGGTGGCCGGTTGGCTCACTTCGGAGAGCGTGGTGCTGACAACACCAAGTCAAGGGTTAAGATCCCCTTACTGGTCATCTTTAAAAAAAAAAAAAAGAAAGGAGGCCATCCATTCTCTAGGGACATGTTTTGGGAGGATGTGTCTGCCTCATACGGCCTGCCATCTTCAATCAACTTTTTATCAGTCAACTCTGGGATTAATGAACATACCCAACCTCATATGTATGTGTGTATTCAGTGCCAGTACCACCTCCCAGGTTAATGTGTTTATAGTGTTGTTCATGATTCTGAATTTGTTTTCTTTGTATTTCTAAGGAATACTACTATATCCCAGTTTTTGATCTATAGTGAGAAGTCAGTGTCTGTGCTTCTCAAGAATCTATAGATTTTGGTCATAGCCTTTCAGTTTTCCCTTTTATTCCCTCCTTTTATAGAAGTACCTCCATGCCCTGGCCCCTGATAATTTTATTTATTTATTTTTTGGCTGGCCAGTACAAGAACCCCAGACATTGATGTTATCAACACTGCACTCTAACCAACTGAGCTAACTGCCCAACCCTCCTGATCATTTTAGCTAACATCCTCTGAATTATTGTCCGGTTGCAGGGTTTCCAGTACTCTTCCTGACAATACCCAACATTTGATTTGGTCGCCTGTTTTGGTCCACATCATCAGTACAGTGGACCAGCATTCCAGAGAACCATTTTTAATGACTCTCAGATTCTCTTTTTGAGTCTGCTCAGAGCTCTTGATTTTGTGAATTATTCACCCTCCCCCACCAATTTATTATCTTGTACTTTCCCACATGACCATCATCTGCTTCCTGTCTACCCACTCTAGTGATCTTGGACTGGAAAGATCTTCCTGTCATTTGGCTCCTTTGCCTTGCCTCTCTACCTCCAGATTCTTTCCAGGAGTGTTTGTGTCTTCCCAAACTTGTAGTTTTCACAGTAGACTCCCTTTCCTTCTTTCTCACAAAGGATGTTAAATATGCCTGGCCCTCACATCAGTCCCTGGGGAACCTTATTTTTTAAGTTACTCCAGTGAGTCAATAAATATCTCACATCTCCTACATGCAAGGAAGTAAGCAAATTTCTATATTCTTATCCCCCAAATTTTAGTTGTTTTTTAAATTCAATATGGAATTTCTTCAGACTTTTCACACTGACATTTATTACCAAGGTCACCTTTATGCCTATTGCCTTTCTCAAAAAATGCTAATACGTAATGAAATAACAGAATCTTTAGAGCTGGAAACAGCCCCAAAATATAATCCAGTCTTCTACCCAATGCAGAATTCCCTCAACATTCCTAACAGGTTATCATTCATCTTCTGTTTAGGCGTTTTCAGAAGGCTCATTTCACCTGGGACTGCAGTAATGTTAAAAAAATTCCTCCTTACATTGAACTGAAATCTGCCTGTCTTCTCTGTAGTCTTAGTTCTCTTCTAATTGCTTCTTCCAAAGCCTTTCAATCTTTTGAAGAAAGCTCCTTCCAAGTTCTTTATGGTCTCTTCTTTAATATGTGATGTGACTCCTATATCCCTTACCATCTTTGTCAAAAAAGTGGTGTGCTAGATCATAGAACACTAAATGTTGTTCCATATGATTAGGGCAAGACCCTTTCCTCCAGTAGAAACCAAGTTGTTTCCCCAAGAGGTAAGCTGAGTTCACTAAAGACTCCTCCAGCTTGACAGGTCCATAAAGGTAAGATTCCCTGGTCTTCATCACCACAGGCTATTTCTGAAGCTTCTTAGAAATGAGGGCCATATTTGTAAAGTACACATACTGTTCAGAAGATTCCTTTGATCATCCCAAATACCTTCAAAACTTTGGGGTAGATGCATTCTAACTTCAGAAATTTATCTACGTGTATTTTGTTAATCTTGATTAGAACATCTGGAGAATTAACCAATTTGTTCCATTTTAAGCAACTTGGAATGAGAATTTTCCTTAGGAAAAATGATTTGTCTATAATGTACTTTCTGCCCCCTAGTGTACCCTTTTATTAAAGGTACCTTCTTAAAAGGGTCCTACAGATCTAATATTGCTAGTTTCCTCTCTGCGTATGTGGTGTTATATTTAAAATACTTAGCATGTGGCCTGGCACATGGTGGATGTTTTGTGTTTACTATCATGATTATTATGTGAAGAACATCCTCTGTGGGTCATGCAGGTCCTTGCAAGATGTGCCTTAAAATTCTTCCTATCTTGCCAGATTTTGTTTGCATACTCGTGGAGAGTCCATGTTCTCCTTTCCTGGGCTACCTTGAAAGATAAACTTTCCTTACAGTCTCTGCCAGTAGTCACACAGCTTTTCATAACAGCTGCCACCTTTTATCCTGGGTACATTTTTCCTGAGATTCCAGGGAGGTCTTATGACATTGTTACTTTTTCACTCTACTATCTTATAAATTTCCCACATTTGCCTGAAAAGCTCCCCTGTAATAACAGATTCTCATGCCTTCAAAAATTATTCCCAAGAATAGCTTAACTTGGTTCAAAAGCAGACTGTTTCTTCTCATTTCATCTTCAAATCAGACTTTTGGGGGGCTGACCGGTTAGCTCAGTTGATTAGAGCATGGTGCTGATAACACTAAGGTCCAGGGTTCAATCCCTGTACCAGCCAGCCACCAAAACTAATAATAATAACAACAATAATACAAGTCAGACTTTTGGGCAAGATATTCTATACAGTATGCAAATCTAACAGACCTACAGATCTCAAGAGGCATCTCTGGTACTGTGAAGTGAGCTCTTCAAAAACCCACAGCAAAACACTGCTCCCTCCAGTTGGCCACCAAACATGAACAAATTCTGCTGCTAATCAATTTCCCTTTTGACCTGGTTCCTGAACTCTTCAAACCTGTGCAATGAAAATATTTATTATTTCTGAACAGACAATGGTGTTCCAGAGAGGAGCCATAAATAACATTGAAATCTGGTGCTGTGATGACGAAGTAATAACTAGCATTAATAAGATTCGGTTTTCTTTTCAGAATGTCCAGTGCACTTATAGCAAAGGTTAAAGCAATTTATATTTAATTCGCATTCTAATGTTGTTAATTTTAAAACAGCAGTTCTAATAAAAATGTATCAACTGAGTATCTAATTCTTACATCTACCAAAAAGCTGTATAAATTTATGACCAGCATTAAAAACATACACATACAACCAACTGTATAAAATCTCTTTAGAAAAGATTGTTAACAAGTGAAAATGAGTGAGACAACACCTAATGATTTTTGTTTTAGTAATAAAAAGTTCCTTTTCAACCAAATCACAATAGTCTTCCTTTGGGCTTTTTTCCTAGACTTGGCTAATACACCCTCCTCATGGCCTTATCACTTATTATTTGGGCTCCATAGTCCCATTAAGCAGAGGAGAAAAAGAGACAAGAATTCTAATGTAAAGTAAATTTATTAAATTAAATTAAATCTTGAAAATATGAGATGGTCTTGGGGCAGGATGTACTTTTTTCATCAACATAATCTTCAGAAGAGGAGCACTCATTTGCTTGCAAAGGCTATAATCTGTTCCTGGAGAAAAATGAAACAAAGTAAGTGATACTCTGACATTGTAAGGTATAAGGGCAGGTGAACAAGATACTTTAAAATAAAATATCTAAAGTGTTTAAAGCAAAAACTAGCGTAAGTCCCATATAGATACTCCTCCCATGAGTCCCTGCTTTATTTCAGCTTTAAAAAAAAAAGAAAAGAAAAGAAAAAAGTAGCTTTAAATGTAAGCTTCTCAGGGAAGCAGCTGGCCAACCAGCAAAAGTTGTTTAAACATCTTTATCTTTACAAGTCCCTATTCACTATTTTAAGTCCTTCCTATATACAAAGTTATTGCTCAGATGTGGGCCTTAACACAAACAAGCCCAGCAAGAACTTTTTTGCTCATAAACACTGGAGAAGGTAGACAGATAAAGATAATAATTTTACAGCCAAGAAAATTAATTCAAAGAAATTAAGGGCCGAGCCCATGGCGCACTCGGGAGAGTGTGGCGCTGGGAGTGCAGCAGCGCTCCCGCCGCGGGTTCGGATCCTTTATAGGGATGGCCGGTGCGCTCACTGGCTGAGTGCGGTGCGGCCGGTCTCAAAAAGGACAAAAAAAAAGCAGAAATTAAGAGTCATTTGCAAAGTCATTCCTTGGGGGGCAAGAATCTTGGAGACATGAGTGACCTCTTACTTTGAGTGGAGATACTGCATTTGTGGCCTGCAAGCCCCATGTCCTGAGCAGCACAAGTGGAGTGGCACTAGTGGAATACAGCCTTTTCAGTAAGTCTGTGGCAGCCAGAAGAGCAGTGTTGTGACGCTGTCTGTCTGTTTCATAACCTGTGAGGTGGCTCATGGAGCCTGGAA